TGCAGAGCAGAGAGAGGACGACCAGCCTATTACACACACAACAGCAGCTCACACACACTGTGGCTCACTGGTGAGGGTTTCTGCTTGTGCTCATCCGCATCTGTGTTTCACTGCAGTCTCTGTGCTGTCAGTTCTGATGGAGATTTTCCTCTTTTCAGGAGTTTCTGCTTCAGTGTCTCTGGTCATCGATCCCAGCAGAAGTCAACACTTCTCATCTCAGTCTCTCTCTCTGAGCTGTGTGGATCAGAGTAACTCTACTGGATGGACCGTGAGAAGATACACAGACACACACACACAAACCTGTGCCAAACAAACAGGATCTCAGTGTGTAATCGACTCTCTCAGCACATCTGACTCTGGAGTGTACTGGTGTGAGTCTGAATCTGGAGAGAAACGCCGTCCTCGAAACATCACTGTACACGGTGAGTCCGGTTTATAATCTAAATTCAAAACAAAAAGTCTATATACATTTTCTTATTTTCTGTACAGCTGCCAAACATATGTACAATTTGAATGGGTTTTCCCAGACATATCTATTATTATGATGTTAGATGAACCTGCCCTTAAATGCCAAATAAAAACAAAGCAATCAAGTAATTCTCGTTCATCAGACAGTCTCTTCCCATAAACATTGGCAGATTAAGCTGCAAAATGGACCTGATTTTATTCCAGTGGTTAAACATCTGATACACAACCAACAAACCCTCATGACAATTTTACCTTTTTTGTAAATTGGTGGCTAATTGGTTGCTTTCGGTAAGGCATATGATGACATAAGGCATTCAAACCAATGAAATACTGTCAACAGAAAGTTTGCTCCCACTATTCACCTCTTTCCACTCTCTTAAACAATCCACCATAGGAAATATTAAAGAGAGTGGAAGTGATCAGCTTTTTCCATGTGACAGTGAATAACCACTAAGAAATAACAAGGAATTAATGTCATGGCAACCCAGCACGTCAATCGGCGCTCTAGTCTAGTTGCGCGGTAGAAACTCAGGTACCTCTAATGAGGTGGAGTCCCGTCGCCTATTCCCCGATCTACAGTTCCTATGCTGGTGCCACTTCGGCTAATAAGGCTTGGTGACCTGAGGATCACAGTGAGGGCTTCTCTGACAAGTCCACCTCCTGGGGTCGCTCGCTCACTCCTCTAGCGCAAGCATGCTGAGACTGCGTTTTGGGTGGTTTATGTTCTCTCATGAGAGCATGACCACGTCGGCATGTTTTTCTTCTTGCCTTTCTCATAAAAGTTTGAGGGTTCAGCTTGTCATGTACCGTCGAGTTTGACAGCCTGGATCACAGTCTCATTAGCCTAGAAATCTAGACGCACCCTAGCGGCAGCAAAAATTATTTTGCAGCAAAGTGTGGTCTAGCAACTCTCCGTTGGCTTTCGAAGTGGAAAAACCAAACTCTGGTCCGTCCAATCAAATCGTGTATAGAGTTGGTGGGCAGGCTTAACACTATAGGCGCTTTTCCACTGCATAGTACGGTACGGTTCAGCTCAGTACGCTTCGACTCGGCGCGGAACAGTTCGGCTCGCTTTGCGTTTCCACTGCAGTAGTATCCCTTCAAAGTGTGTGGGACTGATCGTTATTTGCGCGCGCCTCTACTGCCATGACATCATCTTAAAAGCGCCACATTTTCAAACCCACAACACAGGAACAATGGAGACTATCGAGGGGATGGTGTTCCTGATTCTCGGTATGTGGTTGTTTTTAACTGCTAGATGGAAAAATGTGTTTAAAATGAGGCTGATGGCAGCAAAACAAAAATACTGCTAAAAAAGTGTCTCGTGTCTCGTGTCGCAAATCCAATGACGCTAGTAGTGACGCTGGTAGTGACGATTCTGTCTGACCAATCAGTGATCTGCAGTGTTTCACGTCACATTTTAGTACCGGTACGGTACGCTTGGAACCTCAACAGACCAGGTACCATTTAAAGCGACCCGAAGCGAACCGTACTGTACCGTACCATGCAGTGGAAAAGCACCACAAGTGAGCCGTACCGAACCGAACCGTACCGTACTATGCAGTGGGCGGCAGAGTTGTGACGGTTCTGCGCCGTGAATTTCATAGGTGATTTCCCTGATACTTGAAAACAAACAAGATGCAGCTGGCGAACAGCGGTCTTTCGATTCGGCTTCGGCCGCGACTCGGATGACTTGTAGTCAAGAGAATGTCACTTAAGTCATTCTTAAAAAAGGATGATGTGTTCAGAGTTTTGACGACCGGATACGACAAAAGTTTAATATATCAACTTGCTCCGCTGGAGGGAAAACCATGGGGAAAACGCATGGGACTCACTCAGCCACAGCCATTCATTGCTCTGGTTGGTTAGTGCTATCCTATGGCGTGCAGAGGGATATTGAAAGACAACCTTCTATCTCGCCCCCCGGATTGAGGTATGCCAATTGTGAGTTCCCAGACCTAACATCTTGATAGGTCTGGCTTGCCAGGCTACAGTCTCATATGCCTGGCAGCAGTGTTGTGCACTCGAGACTCGGACTCGGTCTCGAGTCCATATTTTAATGGACTCGGTCTTGTCATGGACTCGTGTGCATTTTGACTCGGAATTGACTCGTACTCGAACATATTGGGAGCCGGGACTCGGACTTATTCCTGAGTCCACTCGAGTCCCATTCAAAATATGTCATGATTATTACTGTATGTTAATATTTCTTTAAATTGTTGTTTGATTGAAACGTCCAATGATTGCTGACTTTCTTGTGCGCAACTGCGCATGACTTGAGACTATAATGTTCGCGGCACGCAAATGCAGCAGGACCCAGGTCAGATGTGATGTGGAGCCTCTGGCTCAACTATGTATCGAAAAAGTCTGCCTTATCACCCATTATACAGTTTGCATATAAGAGCCACACAGAATTCGTGTGCAGTAATGTTCTGTGAAAGAGCACTTACTGATTGTAACAATTGTAAGTAATAATCATAATAAAATTCACCACTATGTGGCCTTTTTACCATTACAGTGTACATGATTCCATGGTATATTTGGTTTACAGTTTGAGTATGGTGCCAATTTTATTGTTACCACCGAATATTTTACATATTCTTGAAGATATCTTTAAGTCTCTGGTTTGAGACCCAACCTTAGGTTATCCAACCTCTCTGGTCTCGGTCTCGACTCGGACTCGACTCTCTTTGGTCTCGGTCTCGACTCTGACTCGACCCTCTATGGTCTCTGTCTCGACTTGGACTTGACTGTCTTTGGTCTCGGTCTGGACCCGGACTCGACCCTCTATGGTCTCGGTCTCGACTTGGACTCGACTGTCTTTGGTCTCGGTCTCGACTTGGACTCGACTGTCTTTGGTCTCGGTCTGGACCCGGACTCGACCCTCTATGGTCTCGGTCTCGACTTGGACTTGACTGTCTTTGGTCTCGGTCTCGACTCGGACTCGACTCTCTTTGGTCTCGGTCTCGACTTGGACTCGACTGTCTTTGGTCTCGGTCTCGACTTGGACTCGACTCTCTTTGGTCTCGGTCTCGACTCTGACTCGACCCTCTATGGTCTCTGTCTCGACTTGGACTTGACTGTCTCTGGTCTCTGTCTGGACCCGGACTCGACACTCTATGGTCTCGGTCTCGACTCGGACTCGACTGTCTTTGGTCTCGGTCTGGACCCGGACTCGACCCTCTTTGGTCTCGGTCTCGACTTGGACTGGACTGTCTTTGGTCTCGGTCTCGACTCGGACTCGACTCTCTTTGGTCTCGGTCTCGACTTGGACTCGACTGTCTTTGGTCTCGGTCTCGACTCGGACTCGACTCTCTTTGGTCTCAGTCTCGACTCGGACTCGACTCTCTTTTGTCTCGGTCTCGACTTGGACTCTACCCTCTATGGTCTCGGTCTCGACTTGGACTCGACTGTCTTTGGTCTCGGTCTGGACCCGGACTCGACCCTTGTTAAGAAGGTTTCAGCCAATCAGAGAGTCGTTTATTGAATGACGTTAGTCAGTGCCTAGTCAGTAAGAGACGAACGAAATATGAATGCTCTGATGCAGAAGACTAATAGCTCAATCGTTCCTTCAGAAGTGGTTTTATGTGAGTGAGTTAATGACAAAATGTAAGTTGTTTATTTCCTTTTATCTTATGATGCTATATGCGTTTAAAGCAGATTTATGTACTTCACTGAGTTATCACGAGCTTGTTTGCGCACCATCGCGGCAGCTCGCGTTAGCGCCTAAGCGCCAAAATTCATCCTTTAAGTTTAAGTAATGCATGAGTACTTTCATAGTGTAAGATATCTGGTTGGTGATTTATATGGTTATTTGCCTATATTTGCGAAATATTGTGTTCTGTGCTGTTTCATATACGTTACTGCCCGAAATGACACTGTAATGGCGTCCTACATAACAACTAATTCCATGTGCGTCCCTTGAGCGCCACCTTGCGGATTATCTAGGAACTGCAATAACTTCAATAATGTTACCAGTTCTATTGCCTTGATGAATGTTATTGATTTAGCTGTATCTCTAATATTATTGTTATTCTGTATTATTTTCAGACCACTTACTGTTACCACTCACTGTTCCTATTCAACTTGAATCAAGAGTAAACTACAAACTTTGCTGCAAACTCTGAGTCGTATGTGTTCTTACCGACACACCAGTGCGGATACAAATCCACCTACTCCAGTAATATACAGTCCTTAATTAAACCTCAAAAACAACCCTCTATGGTCTCGGTCTCGACTTGGACTTGACTGTCTTTGGTCTCGGTCTCGACTCGGACTCGACTCTCTTTGGTCTCGGTCTTGACTCAGACTCGACTCTCTTTGGTCTCGGTCTCGACTCGGACTCGACTCTCTTTGGTCTCGGTCTCGACTTGGACTCGACTCTCTTTGGTCTCGGTCTCGACTTGGACTTGACTGTCTTTGGTCTCGGTCTCGACTCGGACTCGACTCTCTTTGGTCTCGGTCTCGACTCGGACTCAACTCTCTTTGGTCTCGGTCTCGCCTCGGACTCGACTCTCTTTGGTCTCGGTCTCGACTCGGACTCGACCCTCTATGGTCTCGGTCTCGACTTGGACTCGAGTGAGCTGGTCTCGACTACAACACTGCCTGGCAGCCTCCGGATGGGATTGCTGGGCCTTCTCATGGGGGCCCTATAATTCTGGGCTCCAGCAGAGGATCAGATGTTGTGTTATGCTTTAGAAAAAAAGTAAGATGATGCTGAGCTTCCCATTGTAATGGTGTGTGTGTGCTCATGCTGAATTAGATTCAGAGTTGACAGCTATGCGTTCCCGGGCAACTGCGGGGGACCCTCGCCTTGCCCCGCCCCATACCTTTTTCCCTGGATGCACATGGATAATTGGCATATGGAAGCATGTTGGTGCCAATATGGAACGCCAATAGCTGCAAGAATATTTTTTCCTTTCTCACTACCTTCGCGATTTAAGTCCCAACGCAGACCCTGTGCCAGACGATGTCCACCCAGAAACGCCCCCTAGCTAAACCTTGCAGGGCTGCGAGATATCATCGAAGTTTGCTTTCTCAATGCTCCCATGTCACGAGGTGGCCTTTCACGACACTGTTGGAGATTGTTCCCAGCGGTTCTCTGCGGTTCAGAAGCAGGCTGAGGGATTTAAGAGCTTGCCCTGACATGCTACCAGAGTCACTCGTGGGCTGCCCCTCAGTCTGTTCGTCGCCAAGGGTGTCAGTCCCCTACGAAAAACCAATAAGTCCGCCACAGCCAGCTCTGCTGTGTCATGGAGCCTTCGCAGGATGACGGGCGACCCAGACATGAAGGGAGCTTCTCTTCGGGAGATGGTGACCGCACCTCTTCCTCCCCCGGAGGAGGGCCCAGTGGAGAATAATTTGTTTCATTTTGTGTCAGACGTGGATATGCGATTCAGTTCATCCGGCGCCCATGGTCAAACCCTTTGTTTTTAATATAGTTATATTATATAATGTTACGTATATAAATGTTATAATAGTGATTTTATAATGTCTTAATATGAATTTTAGACCAATTTTAGTGAGTAGTATGACAAAATGACTATTATAACCAGCTGATGGCATCAGAGGGCCAGTCATTGTCTCACTTTCAAAAGCTCCAGGGTACAAATTATCATTTCAATATTTTTCTTATGTATTGTTTTGCTATATTCTTCTATTAAACTCACATATCTCGTGTTTGTAGACGGTGAGGTGATTCTGGAGAGTTCTGTTGATCCTGTGATTGAGGGAGAGACTCTGACTCTACACTGTTTACAGCGATCTACAAACTCCCCGATTTCCAGCGCTGATTTCTATAAAGACGGATCACTGATCCAGAATCAGACGACAGGAGAGATGAGCATCACTACTGTCTCAAAGTCACATGAGGGTTTCTACTCCTGTAAAACAGAGAGAGGACAGTCTCTCCACAGCTGGATCTCAGTCACAGGTCTCTGAATAATCACTGATGATATTATTGTAATATTATCACACTCGCGTCACTCACGGACAGATCTGTGTGTTTGTCATGTTCTTCAGTCTCAACAGCTTCATCTTTTTATCTGGCCGTTGGTGTGTGTGTAGGATCGAGTGTTTGCTTGTTGTTCTTCGTCTCACTGGTTCTGCTGTGCAGACACAAACACAAGAAAGGTTTGGATCAGTTCATCACAGGTTATGAATTATTAAACCACATGAACAGCAACAAATGGAAGATACAGTTTCTGAAGCCTAGACAGTCACTGCATGTTTATTAATAAATGAGCAGTTTATGCATAATCAGAAAAGATGAGTGACAAACTCTTACAGTGACCATAATGATCTTTGTCTTTATTATAGATCAGCAGATTCAACAGACATCAGACCCGAATCCATCCAGAGAATCTCTACCGTTAAACTCTCGCCTAAAATCTGGTCAGATGCACTAACACATGATTTAAAGGGATAGTTCACTCACACTCTCATTTATTTACACTCATGTCATTATAAATCTGTATGACTTTCTTTCTGCTGTTGAACACAAAAGATGATGTTTTAAAAAATATTTTCCATGCATTTAAAGTGGTCTGATGATGTTTGGAACCCAATATTCTTCAATATATATATATATATATATATATATATATATATATATATATATATATTAACTATATATCCCATTAAGCTTTATGTGTATTTTTTATTTTATTTTTGTTGTTGTTCTATACTGATTTTACCTTTTCTCCTCAATGTTTCATATCCAGCAGATTCTGATCACATTTATGATGACGTGGTTTCAGTGAATAAGAGAGACAAAGGTTGAGTATTAAACTCTATATAAACACTTATAATTTAAAATTAACAAATATCATTCATGTCGGCTTGACTTGTATGTTTTAGAGCCGCTGGAAGACGTCACATATTCAGAGGTCACTGTTAAGAAAAACATATCAGTGGATAAAGGTTAAAAACCCTCATCAATAGAGTCATTAACCAATAACATTGATGGCGTCTGATTTATATTGCACAAAATATGAATAAAGAGATTTTCACGAATGCACTATTTTCCCAGATGAACCAATGGCAGAGTCAGATAATGTGATGTACTCCGAAGTGAAAACAAAAGGAAAGAAATGCAAAAGCAAAGGTGAGATCCTGTTTTTCCTGAAGAACAATATTATTAGTCCAGCATATTCTGAATAATCAGATTTATTTTCTGTTCTGTATTAGATATTAATACTGCAGGACCCAGTGATTTGACTTACGCACAGATCAATATACAGGACAAAAAGAGTAAAGGTAAACACTCAACAAACTGCATCTAAACACTGTCTGAATGAATCATCACATTATATAATATATAATGCTTGTATATTCATAAAAGATAACCATTATTTGCAGAAATGATAAAGTCACCTTTATTTTAGAAATGTAAGAATAGTTTCATCAATCAGATATTTCCTGTAATGAATAAGTCAGATAATCGAGCTGGTGTTTTATGTGACAGGCGCTGGACTCGCTGATGTTCTGATTGAAATGAAATCTAAGGAGAAACACAGAGGTAATAAAGAGATGCTCTCTACTACAGGTTACAGATCATGTGAAAATAAAGTATATAAACATTGATTGTGGTTTGAGAAGTTCTGTTCTCTCTTGATATATGGATCAACAGTTATTATTGTTACAGATGTAAAGTGTGTGTTTATTCTCTGTTTCTCTTGTTCATATCAGGGAAGAGCAGCAAGCCTGAAGACACTTTATACTCTGAAGTGAAGATCAACGCGGATAGAGGTGAGACAAATAGTCAAGCTTCATCACTGTTAAAGTTAAACATCAACAGATCAGAATGATTCATAAAGTCATGAGGATTATTGAGGAAGTGTGGGAATCGGATAACGTTTGTGTTCTTCAGGTGCGGATGCTGGAGTCGCTGATGCAACTTATGCTCAAGTTTTAAGGAAGAAAGATCACAAAAACAATAAAACACGTGAGTTTATTTTGTTACAAGGATTTTATACACTGTAAAAAATAATCGTAATTTTAACAGTAAAAATGGTAAAAATTCTACAGTGCAAAACTGTTAATTGGTTAGAAAGTTTCCGTACTATATACGGTAGATAAATATTTTCAAGATTTGTTATCACAACATATTTTCTTTTGTCAAATCAACTTTATAACAATTTATTTAGTTGAGATAACTTATTATTTTGAGTTTCTGATCGCTAAATTAATCTACTTCATTGTATTAACTCACTTTTTCCAGTTCAATCAACTTAAAATTTTAAGGCAACCAGGTTACTTACTTTTTTAAGTTAAACCAACAATATTTTTTTACAGTGTAGTAATCACAACATTTTTCTTTTGTCAAATCAACTTAAATAATTTATTTATTTAGTTCAGATAACATATAATTTTGAGTTTCTGATGATTAAATTAATCTCCTTCATTGTATTAACTCACTTTTTCCAGTTCAATGAACTTAAAATATTAAGGCAACCAGGTTACTTACTTTTTTAAGTTAAACCATCAATATTTTTTTACAGTGTGTGATATCATTTTACTGTAAAATTCCATTAAATTTACAGTTTTTGAAAGTTAAAAAGAACAACTCATTGTATAATTTAACCGTAAATTGGTATTCCCACAATTCCCTGCGTCACACTTCACATTTGATGTATTTTGTTGAAATAACTATGGTTCCTCATAGTTTTATTGTTTTGGGTTTTTTTTTTATAATTAGTTATGTACATTAGGGTTTTATGGTACATTTAATGTTGTCAAATTAATGATTATTGCATTTTTTTTTAATTTCATGTGTGTTAATGTTTGTGTGAATGACACTGTTCAGCTTCTTCAAATAAGTATAAACCTTCTAATGGAAGAATGATGAGCTTTGATTGCTCATGTATCTCTCATCACTGCTGTGATGATTGTTGGTTGTCAGTGTATTACAATGGCACAAAACAGATATCAATTTTTCAAAAGGTTGGTAAATCAACAGATTTCAGAAAATGAAGTACAGTTTATTACTGTAAATTTTAAGTTAAGTCTGTAAAACCATTTATGTTCCTACCGTATTTTTAACGGTAATGTTCTGGCAACCACAGCTGGCTTTTTTTTTACCGTAAAAATTACGGTTTTATTTTGTACAGTGTAGTAATTGACTATTTTCACTTTCATGTAGAAAATAGATCTGCTTTAAGTGATTCAGTTCAGTTATTTGTGAGGATCAGGTTCATTGTGATCTTAAAACTGTAAATCATCAACAGCATGAGCTCAAATCAAGGTTTTTATTTTCCAAGAATAATTCCTCAAACTGTGTTCTCTGTTCAAAGGTCCCTGAGAGCAGCGAAGAAAACAGACGACAGAAGTGAAAGCGCAGGAGAAATGAGTCTGAGTGATGCTTATGCTCATGCTTGACTCAAAGAGAACGGCACTCCATTATCTGCACTCATATTAATAATAATAATAATAATAATAATACATTTTATTTGTAAGGCACTTTACATTTGACACCAAATCTCAAAGTGCTACAGTAAAACCGTGTTAAAAATAGACATAAGAAATACAGTAAAAAAAAACAGAATATGTTAGAAAGAGGAATTAAAAACAAGCATTAGCTATTAAAATAAGCCTGTGTAAAATTATTATATAAGGAAATGTAAAACATGTTCTCTCTAGTGATGCCATTTTCTCTATTTTTGATGACCGTCTTACATTCGATTCTTTTGTACATATTTTTAATCTCAGAAATATAGCCAGATTGCGCCTACATTTCTCTGTAGCTGAAAAGCGGATGAACTCATTTGTTGTCTCTCGGATAGATTACTGTAACGCCCTTTTAGCCAAAGTGTTAAATCCACTTTAAATAAGCAGTTCAATTCTCCTCCGCCAGGATCTGGACCAGTACATGCAAACATATTACTCCTGTTGTGGCTCTCGCTCAGGTCCAGTGTCGCTTTTAAAATGACGATGCTGCCATTACATGGCTTGGCTCCTCATTGTTTATCTGCATTGTTAACCCATTACAACCCAAATCACAGACTCCTGGCGGTCTAATTCGCTCACACTTCCACAAACCCGCTTAAAGGGTTCACCCAAAAATGAAAATTCTGTCAGTATTTACTCACCCTCATGTTGTTCCAACCCTGTAAGACCTTCGTTCATCTTCGCAACACAAATTAGGATATTTAAGATATTAAGATCGCTCCTGCATACTAGTCCATAGGCTTCTTGAGGGAATGACTTTTGTTGGCATCGAAAAGTAATTAAAGACATTGTTAAAATAGTCCCAGTGACTACAGTGGCTCAATCTTAAAGGGTTAGTTCACCCAAAAAGGAAAATTAAGTCATTAATTACTCACCCCCATGCTATACCAACCCCATAAGACCTTCGTTCATCTTCGGAACACAAATAAAGATATTTTTGATTGAATCTGAGAGCTGGATCACTCTTCCATAGCCTGCCTAAGGGACTGGCTCTTGACGGCCCATAAAGTCATTAAAGAAAAGGTTTAAATATTCCATGTGCCTACAGCGGCTCAATTATAAGTTTATCAAGCGACGAGACTACTTTTTGTGCGAAAAAAAACATAAATAACGACTTAATTCGACTATTCTATTACTTCCTTATGGGCGCATGCGCGAGAACTGAGAGGAGGACGTTCTCCTTCGACTACTTCTTGTTACCGGCTGCTCACCGCTTAGGAGTTTTATCGCCCCCTACCGTATAAGATGATGTGCTGATATAGCTGGAAGCGCAAAACTTTCTGTTTACAAGCAGAGAAGATGCGCGCTGTACATACGCTTTCAATTAGCGTATTTTCCGCACTACAAGGTGCACTTAAAAGTCTTTAAATCTTCTCAAAACGACAGTGTTCCTTATAATCCGGAGCGCCTTATATATGGTCATCATTTTATATGGTAGGTGGCCGGTAAAAACTCCTAAGCGGAGCAGCCGGTAACAAGAAGTAGTCGAAGGAGAAGAACGTCTCAGTTCTCGTGCATGCGCCCATAAGGAAGTAATAGAATAGTCGAATTAAAGGCCCTTTCACCCCGGATGCGTAAACGGAAAAGCGAAACGAAAAAGCGAATAGTTCGCGTGAGAATATTTCGCGTCAAAACCATTCACATCAGCCGCGACGCGAATTTGCGACGTTCAGAACTTCAACATTCCAAAACATTCGCGCCGATGAAAGCAGACCTGATTTTCATCAGAAAACGTAGGCTACTCTATACTTATTATTATAGCCTACTAGGTGAATAAATATAGATTTTATATTAGAATGTCTTTTTGCAGTGATGTTAACATGATGCTTTAATAGGCTTTATAAAAAAAAAAATCCCAATCTCTAAATAGCACATTTTCAAACATAGCTTGGAACATAGCTTCTTTTATCACCATCATTATCATCCAGTGAGACAAGCTTTTTATTTTATTTAAAAGCAGAAAAGAAGGTTTGGGGCACCCACTAACCGGAGCTAAACATATGGCAGAAGGTGAGCTGTCCCATTCATCAGGGCTACGTTTACATGCAATCAAATAAACACTTTTAGTAAACGGATTGAAGGCTCAAAATGGACTGAAAAGCCTTGTAAACACCCGGTTGGGCTCGATACGAAAGAACGAGCACAACGTCCCACCAGTCCTTGTTTCAGATATTCATTCACAGACTCGACACACAAGCAATCAGAAGGTCCGTCCGTCATTGCTGCGGTCACGTCACCTTTGTTTCCCTGTATATGATTGGCTGAAGCCTTTTCTTTCGCCTCAAAAATCGACATCGAAGCGAAAAAAATAAAAGTCGTTTTTTAAAAAGTCGAATTATTCGCGCGTCAAAATCGCGTTCAGTGTGAAAGGGCCTTAAGTCGTTAATAGCGTAAGCTTCTGTTATTGTACGTCACAGGCATCACACACATGACCAGCGTCGGCCAATAGTGAGCCTACGCGTGACGTAGCTCTTCGCATTTACACTACGTTAACTGACTACAGGCCCATAGAGAAGGAAGTGAATAGTTGAAATAAAGTCATTATTTTGTTTGTTTTTGCGCACAAAAAGTATTCTCGTCGTTTTATAAAGTTAAAATTGAGCCACTGTAGTCACTTGGACTATTTTAACGATGTCTTTGAAGACTTTTAGATGCCAGCAAGAGCCAGTCCCTCAAGAAGCCTATGGACTAGTATGCAGGAGCGATCTTAATATCTTAAATATCTTAATTTGTGTTGCGAAGATGAACGAAGGTCTTACGGGGTTGGAACAACATGAGGGTGAGTAAATACTGGCAGAATTTTCATTTTTGGGTGAACTAACCCTTTAAGATCGTCAGTTTCGGTTTATGCTCCTCTTTCTCTTCAACTGAGGGAAGCTCAGACCTATGACATCTTTAAAGCTCAACTCAACTAGCATTTGTTGATCTTCAAACAAAGTTCAATAGAAGAGAGTGTATCTTTGGGGTGGTGATGGCGCAGTGGATAAGACACATGACTTTGGTGTGAGAGACCCGGGTTCGAATCCACTGTGAGACACCAATGTGTCCCTGAGCAAGACACTCAACCCCTAGTTGCTCCAGAGGCGTGCGACCTCTGACATATATAGCAATTGTAAGTCGCTTTGGATAAAAGCGTCAGCTAAATGAATAAATGTAAATGTAGGGAAACGTGTACAGTGAAAATGCTCTATAGAGTTTGTAATAGTTAATCAAAGAGTATTTTAAGGTGACCATGGCACAAATTAAAAAGCATTCATTCAAAAAGCCAATAATGGACTTTTGAAAGAGTGTCATTGTCATCCTAAAGTATTTTTGCTTTTATTTTTGGGATTTATTGTGCTGTGTATTACTTTTTATTTCTGTATAGCGCTTTGAGGAGCTGCTTTTAAAGTCGCTCTTTAAAATAGTTTATTATTATTACAATTGACCATTCATGTTTAACGTGTTTCTCTGTCTTACCAAATAGGGCCTTTTTTATTATTTTTTGCAAAGACAAGATGATTTTTCTCAATCTTTCATATAAGCTGTTTTCCTTCTTTCATTTGTTTTATATGCTGTTTTTTTTTTTTGCTGCAATTAATCAAGTGTGAAATAAAAATTCAAACAATTTTCTTTGCATGAGTTTTTCACGTTGGTTAACCTAAGGTCACAATGTTTGAAAAATGTTACTTAGATTGTTGTTATTCTTATGAACAAAAGTAATGAGCATGTTTTAAACAGTTCGGTGCACGTCAGGGGTGTTTTCCATGTTCTGGGACTGTATAAAACAGATAGCAATCAAAAATCCTTGACATGTCAGTTTTGTTTTTATTTGACTTTGCAGTGCATTATAAATGCAAACACATTAGTATGGTGTTCCTAATAATCCTTAGGTGAGTGTAGATACACATGCTATAGATACACTCTGCAGACATACACTGTAAAAAATATTTTCAAGATTTGTTATCACAACATATTTTCTTTTGTCAAATCAACTTTATAATAATTAATTTAGTTGAGATAACTTATTATTTTGAGTTTCTGATGGTTAAATTAATCTACTTCATTGTATTAACTCACTTTTTCCAGTTCAATCAACTTAAAATTTTAAGGCAACCAGGTTACTTACTTTTTTAACTTAAACCAACAATATTTTTTTACAGTGTTGTAATCACAACATTTTTTTTCTTTTGTCAAATCAATTTTATAATAATTTATTTAGTTCAGATAACATATAATTTTGAGTTTCTGATGGTTAAATTAATCTCCTTCATTGTATTAACTCACTTTTTCCAGTTCAATGAACTTAAAATATTAAGGCAACCAGGTCACTTACTTTTTTTAAGTTAAACCATCAATATTTTTTTACAGTGTATGATCAGATGTGCTGGACCAACTCATGTTTAGTTATGCACTTCAGAATGAACAGAGAGTTTAGAGTTCATTTCTCGACAAATAACAGATTTGATGTGTGCATTTTGTGTGCCCATAATTCCTTTCCACCTTGTGTTTAACATGAGAGTGGGAACAGCCATGTTTAACTTGAATGTGCAAGACTGCAGTGTCATTCTCCTCCAGTTATTTTAACTGTACAACAACAGTTCATAATGCTGCAAACTTTTAGTTGGTAGCATATAAATGCTACGTGGGATCTCAATATCTCAGCTCTGGAAGGGTCTAGAGACTCCATTTTGGCACTCAGGTCTAAGTCCCATGGCCCTCTATCAGAATCCAGAGTTTTGATAAGATTGGGGAAACTTAATTTTTCGCCCAAAAAAAAAAAACGTAAGGGGTAACACTGTCGTTTTTTTTTTTCTGGTCGAAATTTTGAGTTTCGATATCTCAGCTCTGGAAGGGTCTAGAGCCTCCATTTTTGCACTCAGGTTTAAGTCTCATGGCCCTCTATCAGAATCCAGAGTTTTGATAAGATTGGGGAAACTTAATTTTTCGCCCCCCCCCAAAAACGTAAGGGGTAACACTGTCGTTTTTTTTTCTGGTCGAAATTTTGAGTTTCGATATCTCAGCTCTGGAAGGGTCTAGAGCCTCCATTTTTGCACTCAGGTTTAAGTCTCATGGCCCTCTATCAGAATCCAGAGTTTTAAGAAG